CCGTGTGGATCAGGCGAACACTTAGTCTCACTGTTTTCTGATGATAGATGCTTGCACACCTACTGTGCTTAAATTCTGTCATAACCAAGCTTTTTGTGGATTATTTGATGCACAGTTTCTTTTTTTTTCAACAGTTCAACAGCAATTTCACATATGGTGATCCGATGATTCTGCCATATGAGCCTCCTCCTCAGCAGAAATTGGGGCACCATTGGTAATAATGTGCACCTGCCCAGGGTGGGGCAAGTCCTTAATGTTTACATGTCTTCCTCATAGTGTTAACACCATGGGAATATGGTGCATCATAGGAGACACTGCTCTTTATACATTTCTTTCATCCTGTGATAAATTTGTGAAGTATGCTTTTTGTCTGTGCAAAGAATTTGGATAACTGCTGCTAGTGCTGATCTGAAGGCATCCGTCATGTAATGAACTGCGGAAACAACACTTCAGAAATGAGGCTATGGATATGAAGCCGTTAACTAGCATCAGCAACTGGGAATAGTACCACACCATCTATTGGCTAACATATTTAACTCACTTGGATTTGATACAATGTCACTACAGCTAAGATCTCCTTTTCATATGGGGACACCTTATAAAATAGACTTTGAAATAAACAGCAGTATTTGGGGGTGGGGTTCTAATTTAATTTACTTTTTAAGAAATCTTTTTTCCTATTTGTTTATTGTAAAAGCATTCAGATGTAGAGTACTAGCATTGAGCTCTTTGAATAAGTGGTAACTTATCACAATTTAAAATTTTTTTTTATTACTGTGTACTTTTATGTATTCATACTATGTGTGTATTGAATATTTTTAATGTTATTTATTTTAAAAAAAAATATTTTTGAAAGTGGTTTTAAGTGATTTAATTAATTAATATAAAAAGAAAACTTTTTTAATTTTGTGTTATCGGCTGCAGATGGCATGCTTTTGCCTCTGTGTGGACCTACCATATCTTTCAAACCATATCAGTTTTTACTGGATTCCAATCTATGGGTTAGTTGTTATGTAACTATTGATTGAGATAGGTTGTGCATAAGCTACTTGTTGGTTTAGTGAAAAAGCAAAAATGAAACTAGTTGAAGAACAGTGAATCTGTCTGAAATTTATTGTAAAACTTGGGTAAACATTCCATATGCTTAATCAAGCATACTTGGATGACTGCATGAGCTGAATGCAGTATTTTGATTTGTTTCAGTGTTTTAAGAAAGGCAGACGTTTGGTTGGTAAACATCCAAGGAATGGGTGATCATTCACATCAACAGATGGCCAACATGTTCAGAGTGCACTGTGAATATGAACGACATGGTTAGATGGTAAACAAAGAAGTCTACCAAAGATTTCTAGCATGGTTGAGAGATGTGCATAGGTAGAGACCTGACCTGTGAGGGTGTCAGTTATGGTGTTGCATTTCAATAGTACTCCAGCCTATTGATTGCTCCTAGCTACCAGTTAGCTGACAAAATGATGTACTTCTGTTGTGCCTGACAAATTCTGTTCTTCGAAATTGATCCCTCAGATTTCTGTATTTCACGGACTTAAAACCACTTTGACAGAGTGCAGGGGAATTTCAGAAGAATGTGTGGAAAACACTGCATGCCATTGAAAGAAATGATTCCCAGAAGGCATTCTAATACTGGAAGAAACTGTGGCAGTGGTGTATTGGACCTAGAGAGTTCTTTAAATGGTAATGGTAATGGAATGGTTTAAATGGTAGAGAATAATGGTAAAAATTTGTGAAATGAACAATAAAACAAAAAAGCAAAGTTGACTTTTTTTGAAGTCCTCGTATACTAGAAAAGTTCCTTGCAAAAAGAATTTTTCATGTATACTGTTCTAATTATATTTTTTCTTAACGTTCAAAATGTAAATTGTTGTCATCAGGTTTAATGAAACTGCACAATTTTCTTTAGAATAACCTTTCTTGAGAATTTCAAGAACACTGTGTGTTTCCTTTAGTTTTCATAATTATCTGTTCCAAATAGTGGCTGCAAAATTAAGGGACTTGTGTTTTTATCCATTATACACTAGTGTGCAAAACTTAAACAACTTTTCTGATTTTGGCTGTAACTCTGCAAAAAATCAACTGAAAGACATGAAATTCATACTGCAGCGGCAAAGTAGTATTTAAAGGAGAAAAAAGTGTAGTAACAAAAATATGAATAGGATGCATACAGTACGAAACGAATAGAAAAAGACATTTTTCACAAAATGGCATTGCTACAATATAATACCCAGCCAAAACGGCAAACTGCAAACCGAAGGGCTTTGATAAGGGATATGACCTTCTATAACTGCATTTGTTGCATTGCACCATCTGTTGATATTTAATGCCAGATTATGTAATAGTTGGGGTAAGGATTTTCATTCATCGAGGAACATCTCTTTCAGTTGTGTGTTGTTCTCTATAGGTTAAGGTCTTGTTGCCAGGCATCTTCACAGTAGATCGGTCAGCACGCTCCCCTGATATTTAAATCAGGGGAGTGTGCTGACCGATCTATTCTGTGGATATCTTCACTTTCCAGGGAGCTCCTCAACAGCATGAGTTCTCTATGACCGTGTGTTGTCATCCATAAAAACAAAGTGAAGATCAGTGGCACCTTTGAAAAGATGCGCATGGGGGATGATAACTTCGTCATGGTAACAATCTCTGGTAGCTCTGTTGAAAATGTGGAGTTCTGTCTGTACGTTCGTTCATCATAATACCTACCCACACAAGCATTGCCAGGACCACTTCACCGGTCTCTTTCCCTGATCTTAGTGGTATGAAAGTGTGTCCTTACCTTTCTCTATGAACTTACACCAAGAATTATTTTTTTGATGGAAACAACTCTCATCAGTAAAAAGGACATGATTCCGTTCATGAGGTGCCCAGTCTTTATAATCTCTACACCACTGTAAATGGTGCCACTGATGGTGTGCTGTCAAAGGTATTCAGCATGGTAGGTGAATAGGCCATTTTATGAAGTCATCTGGCCACACGCTAAACTGGGACACCCGTTATTCAGTTGCCATGCATAACTGGTGAGCAATGTTGCTTGCTGTCTAGTTTTTATCTGTTTTGACCTGCAAGGCAATATATCGGTCGTCAGTCACCATCAAGCTTTCTGTACAGCTATACCTGTTCTTTGGAAGGCTTTCAAACTCGTGAAACAACTCTTATATGTTCCAACCTCTTGGGCGACAGGTGTGAAATTATACCCCTCCTCAAGCTTGGCTATCATTATAATATGTGTGAAAGCATTTTAATGTTTTGTGTAGCCATACTGCATGTACAATCTCACTTTTACTTGCAAAAGAATGCCCGGAAGTATGTCTTCCTTTTTCTTTCTTTCTTTCTTTTTTTTTTTTTTTTAGTTGCCTTGCACTGCTCATACTGACTCCTCACATTTTGCATGCCCTGACATACCCTCTGATGTCATGGTGTTGATATTTGCTTATGCATCACTTTTCTACTGAGTTGGCTTTTCATTGTACTGAATCACAAAAAGCCCTTTTAAAAAATTTCGTGGTTGTAGGTTAAAAAATGAATTTGTTGCTTAAGTTTTGTACACTAGTGTATTTTTATACCTCATGAAGACTTAAAATAAAATGGATAAAAGTTTTAATTTGATTTACATCATTTATTCAACGTAACAATGCCAGTATTGTATATTTGAACATTTTTAGAAATGTTTCAACTGTAAATGAATTTATTCAAACATGTTAAAAGTTGTTTTAAATAAAGCAGATGTTCAAGTTTTAACATTTTTAAAATAAGGAAATTAATTTTGTAAAGTCTGCGAAGTCTGTTAAGGATTTTCCTGGTCCCTGTATCTATGTTTAGTAAAAATTTAACTTCCAAAATGACAAAAATTAACTGAGGTATTTAATTTTACAGTTTGAATTTTTTTTTTCTGAAAATTTAGGGTTGATACAGAAATTCAAGAAGGAAATGAATAAAATTGTAGTTAAAAATGGAATGCTGGATTAAAAAAAGTTTCTAATATAAACAGATTAACTGACAAGCTTGCTATTCAGACTGCTGCGAAAATTTGTGATCGATGCCATTTTGTTGGAAAAATAAATCTTATTTACAGAAACTTATGGAATTTGTGTTTTAGGCTTCACGTATTGGCATGCCACTAACTCGTAACATTATTTGCATAAATTAAAAATCAAAAGTATTTTTAGTCCATTGCTGGTTTTGTATGAATTTTATGTTTTAAATGGTTTTGTATGAATTATATGTTTTGTATGTCATGATTCTGAAGTAATTAAACTGCATGTGAATATTATTAATGTGATCTAAGCATTTAAAAATTTATAAATTACTTTTGTGAAAATATTTTTGTCATACCAAATGTAACAAAACTATAAATTATGGAAATTTGTACTCCAGTAAATCACAATGCAATATTGCTGATTACAATGGAATATCACTGAATCACATTAGGTTGAAAATACTCAATCTCAAAATGCCCTAATTTATTTTTAACCAACCCCTTAACAAAAACAGTAAAGACTGGTTTTGGGCACTCGAAATCTTATTACTAAATAAAGCTATAGGAACCAGGGTTGTATAAAATGTTAGATTTAACATTTACACTCTTCTGCATCATTTTAAACATTTCTGAAATTGAAATTATATGTCTGTGATCAACCATTGTGAAAGTGAAGGCTGTATGATGACTTCCTTTCACTTAATATGTATTTGAAACAAAATATTTTGTTTTAGTAAAATAATGGAGGGTTTTCTTGTACTGAAAGTGGGAGCATTTTATAAAGAAGCTTCTGCAGATGGCAAAAATACTGAAAGCTGCAATAAAATTGTATATTGTGTGCTTGAAGATCAGTGCAGTCTCATGCCAGAGATTTTGTTTGAATTTATGACAATGCCTATGTATATTTGTTTGCTTCTTTTTTAATGCATTTTTAAACTCTCATTTTATAAGATAATTGTGCCTTCCACAAATAGCCGGATTATATTTAATTTGTGTCCCCCATTCTTTTCAGGTTTACACAGAATTTATCAGTATTTAGGAGAGATGTAAATGATTCTCTTAAAGGTCCAAGTGTGTCCTCCATTTATGATGTAAATTGAACTCAGTGTATAGAATATAGAACCCATTAAAAGTTAACATCTTTCCTGGAATACTTGTATGAGAGGTTTGCATACTTGAGGCATCAAGCTCATTGTTAATATCATTGTTCATTGTTTTGTATGGCTGAATTCAACTGAAGATAAATTTTGAAAAATATTTATCACTTTTTCTTATGTTAGAGCATTCCATGATCATTTTCTCATAACTGCATTGCTCTTATATGCAAACGTGAACATAATATATTTTTCTACTGTTTGCTCAATGATATAAATGGATAAGACTTTCATAAAAAATACTCAGAAATTGAAATTGGTATTTTAGTGCTGGGATTTTTAGATAATAAATATGCTTTATTGATTATGATTCTGAGCTTAGTCATGCATACTTTGTTAAATAACTAATCTGGCCAAGTGAAGACTTGTATATTTATGCTCTTCAGTTTTTCATTTATTTTGTTCGAATGCTAAGCTTGTGTATCTGAGTGTTAAATTTATTTATTTAGGAAATTGTCTTGTTAGTTATTTTAACTGCACAGATGATTAAATTATGCAGTTTTCTTTTATTATAAAAATATTGCCAAATAGAACAGTGTGAATATTAAATTTTTAATTCTTATATATCAAGTTGTTCATTGTTTCTTAAATTACATTTTGTGATATTATTCTGAAATGTTTGCAACCTTTAATTACACTAAATGAAGTTCCTTCTCATGTTTGCAGTGCATCTCAGAAGTTAAAATACTGTATCATTCAGGCCTCTTTTGCCAGTTGTTTATTTGATGCTATTAGTATTCATACTGTTTCAGATCTGGCTGTTCTAGATGTGACTTTTTTTCCCCTTATATATGTGTAAGTCAAATAAATTTTCTTATAACTGTATAAGTTAACGGTCTGTAGGCTTGATGAATGGAAAAAATTGCATAATAGGGAAGTTAATATTATATGATATTATGCAACATTTCTGATTGTTGATAGAAATATCTATGATGTTTGAGTTAGAAATTTTCTCTTCACGTGTTTTGGTAAAATATGCTCATAGTTTACATAGTCCCACAAAATGTAGTTATTCCTTCTAAAGTTACTTCATTCGGGATATCAAAAGTGATCATTGTTGCTAAATGAAGTTTAAGGTTATTATTGATTAGTGTTTCTATGTTCAAGTCTCTATTTTTCATAAATTAAAATATATTACTCTGGCATTTCTTCTCAACTGACAGAATTGTTAAGCATTTAATTTAACGTAGCAAAAGGAATTATGTTAAAATAATTTCATACTGTTAAGCAGTAGGAAACCATTTCATAATAAATGACATATTATAAAGAAAAAATTGAATTTCATGTATTGTTTCCAAAATTTCCACTCCCTCTGCTTTTTCTTGTACATTTCTAGATATTAAAGATAATTTACAATTTTGTATGATTGTGAGGGCTTTAAAATTGGACAACCTATTCTGTTTTAAGTGACATGGTGCTGCAAAAATTACATCACATATAAAGATTGTCTTCAATCTGTAGAATGACATGGTTAACAAGTTTTCACAATCCTCTTCCTTTCAACAATTCATGTTTGGTTGAGCTGATAAATGCAACTAGTTATTTAGAGCAATTTCTTGCATTTCAGTTAAAAGGAAAACAAAATTGCCTCTATTGACATGTGTTCATGAGGCAGTCTAACGTAATGATACTTTAGTAAAGTGCATAATAGTTTTCTTAAAAGTCTTAATTGAGTGGATACTTGTCTTAATTGAGTGGATCTTACCCTCTGTTTTGTTTATCATTAACACTTCCTTTCCCCCCTATTCTGACATATTTCTGTTATTTTTCTATAATGTTCTTATTGTTATTTGCATCTGCTTTTGCAGTCAGCCCAAAGAATGAAACTAAAAATTGATAATACCTAACAGAAAAACATAAGCGGTTATTAACTTTATGACAGTTTATTTCTTGGGGGGGGGGGGCATTTGTTTTGAATAAAATGTTGTTAACATGGACATGCATATCAGAAGTTTAACCAGTCCCAAAGAATTAACTGAAATTAGTTCTGTGACACATAAACTTCTAATGAGAAACATTGAAAAATAATCTCCATTTGTGTTTTTATTACTGCTTTTTTACAGTAATATTCAAAACAAATGTTATTATTCTTTATCTCTTAAAATTTATATTGCATAACTCTATGGAATGTAAGAAAGCTGTAGTTTCACACAGGTGAGGTTAGTTGTCATTGATTGTGAAATCAGAAGTACTAGTTTCTTGTATATTATCTACCTTTTAGTTTTGTTTTCTTGTACCTTAATAGTGTCATTTCTGTATTAGATTGTTAAAAGAGAAATACCTGATTCCTGGTTAAATATAAATTATATTCTTTATTCTTGAATGAAATCAGGTTATTTTGAAATTCATTTCTACCGAATAAGCATTTCAATGCTAAAATGGCTGTTACTTTGGAAATAAGCCTTTTAGGTCAGATTATTTTTTTAAATTCGTGCTTTTCATGATGTTTGTTGAGGTGTTGGTATTTGATCATGCTATAAATTCCCAGTTAACCAACTCTTAACCTTAGACTTTAAGGTGGATATGTAAATGGCTGGCTAATTAGAAAACAGTATGCTAAAAATAATCATCTGTACTACTCAGATTTAAGAAAGTATGTTTATATGTTAAGTAGAAAAAGGAATATATATATATATGTGTGTGTGTGTGTATTTCTTTTTATGCTTAACATATAAATATAAGAAATTTTTTATTTATTTCATTTATTGTTTTGATCTAAAGCATGCTACCCTTACCTGAAAGGCAGAATTAACAAACCACTGACAGAAGCATTAACTCGAGAATTTCAAAACTGATTAGTGGTGCTATTTCTTTATGTGTAAAGTAATAAATTTCCTATATCTTTGTCAACTGCCTTTTTTTTTTTGGGCTAATCTTGATTATTTATGATGTAGCAGCTTAATATTGTTCTGTAGTTATTTATAATTAATTCCATATCCTGTTAACAGTAGGATGGAACCCTGATATGAAGATTTTTCCTTGGATATGTTAAAAAATCTTATTGCTAATCCCTGTAGATGGGTGTGTAACATGAACAGTTTTAATACTCCTGGGTGGAGCTAGGGTACATGTTTGTCATTGTCTAAAACTGTAATAGTAGTGTTCACAGGCAGAAAAAATGGCATGCCCAACTGTAGTAGAAAATGACACAAGGGTATAAATCTGAGAATCTTATATCCCTCTTCCCCTACTAGTTAATCTTATAATAATTATTTCAGTTTGAATCTCTTAATTGCCCTTGTTTATCTAAGACATTTTCGAGTGAGAAGCTTACCTGGGATTTGGACTTTTGGGCTAGCAGCAGCAGGAATGGATGTTACAAAAATATTGAAGCCATGCACCACGTATTAGTGAAAATGAGAGCATATACAGCAGCTTTTGATATAGCTATTAAAGTTTGATTTGGAAAAGAAATGAACCTAACCTTATTTAAAAGTCCAGACACATGGCTTTAGTTATCAGTTAGTTAACGTTAGTTATGAAACTTTAGTTGAGAATGTTGCATAGCCAAAAGTAATATGCCCTGTGAAATGGTATGAGCTAGTATGCTGTTCTGTCTGTAGTCATATTCATAAACAAAGCTATTATCTACTATATTAGGAAAATATGTGAAACAGTACAAAGTCTTAAGTCTGGGCATCCAGAAAAATCCAGACTAAAAGCAAGTTTTTTGTAAGAATTTTTCTATCATAGTCTGTAAATGGAGAATATAATACTCAAGAAAAAACAGGTGTGCCATAAAAGCACTTTTTTTCCTGACAAACTTAGATTTCTGCGTGTCACTTTAAAACAACTGCTAGGAAGGGAATCACCATGTCAATGTGACAGTGCATTGATTCACGATACCATCAACCACATGATTTTCTTTTGTTGGCATACCATTGCTTTGCCAAAAAATTTTCAGCTGAAATAGCAGAAGAATTGAAAAGTAAAGAAAAAAAAGTAGTGCATGATGTCAGAGATCATGTGATTTTTATGATGTGATAGTTACATATTCTCACATGACCTCAGACATCATCACAAATTCAGTGTCAGTTGGTTCCATAAGTTACATATTGTAATTTGGTTTGTAGCCATTTTAATTTTGATGAAAATTTTAAAACTATATTGCTAATTATCCATTAACATTCATTATTCTCTTCCTTAATTCTCAGTTAATTTAGGTTTTATTTTTAAATTAATTTTTCCATATCCATTGATATGGGCTACCTCACGTTTGGATTGTAAGTGCTTCTGTACAAATTTACTTCAGCTGGCAAATTTATTTCAGTTAGCGCTTTCTAATTTATTATTTTTTGTTTTATTTTAACTGTTAATGCTTTTCAATGAATTTTTCTGTCTTCATGGTTGATTTGTTTAACTTTATCAGATTCTCATTGCTAACGAAATCCATGTTCTTTAATTGTTAAATTTCTTTATATTGTTATTTCGAAAACTAATTTTGCTTTTATTTTAAAGTCTATTGTTTAGTCTATTATTTAAGTAAATTGTTTAGTTCTGAGCAATATAAACAGGCGAATGAATTTCATTTCTTTCTCTGTTTGAGTACCTAACATATAGCACTTAGACTATGAATTGCTTAATTATCACCATAGAATTAGGGAAAAAACTGCCTTAAAAGCAAAATGTGTAAAGTTATAAAATCCGGTATTAAGGTGCATAACTGTTTTATACTCATTTGCAGTACTTTTCCTTTCATTACTACTTTTTTTAAAGAATTCTATCTATCAGTAATAGAATACATTCTCCTTGTGCTTGAAGAAAATTTTTAAATTGCCTTTTCCACAAAAAGCAAACAACTCTAGTACACATTGTTTTTTCCTCTGGTCCTTAACAGAATTTTTTAGCATCGAAAGGAACAAGATTACTGAAGTATATGCTAAATAAATAAAAGTTGTCTTTGCCCCCTTAATAATATTGAATGTTTTATTACAGAACTATACTATGGAAAAATCCAATCGTCCAATGGCATCTCCATTCAAAGTATGGAACTTAGG